TGTGGCGGCCGTGGAGGTGGACGCGATGGCATTGGCGGTGGACGCGATGGCATCGGCGGTGGACGCGATGGCATCGGCAGTGGACGTAATGACGGTGGCTGCAGTAGTGTCGGCGACGACCACGGTCGTGTCAACGGCCGCAGCACCGGCCCGGTTGGCGGCCAGCGCCAGCAGCAACGACAACAGAATGGCGGTGGCGGTGCACGCGCGCGTCGCTGACGACAAGATGAACGGCGACGACGACAACGACATGTTGATGCGCCGAGCGTAAAACTTCTAATGCACTCGGAACGGACGCGGACTGCGGACACCGGACAGAGTCGGCCGTGGTTGGGTGGCGACGGTGGTGGAAGCGATACAGTGGCGGAACCGGTGGCGGGGGGCAGTGGCGACGGCAGACGAAACGACTCGGACTTGCGCTTCACCATAATTTATTATGAGCCAAATAATAATAATAATAATAAATTATTTATTATGATTTACTCGACTACAACTCGCGGCATTGGCGTGATTTTATTATGATGAAAAAAAAATAACTAAAATATTGTCGCTGATCCGCCACAAACGACAAAAACGTTAATTATAATAAATTATATTATATTAAAAAAAAAATGTGTCTTATCCCAATGGACATGTTGCCGAGGGTCATTTCTTTAATAATAAAAAAATAATATATATATTGTATTAATAGCATCAAGATACTTAAAAACCCTCTTCAGTTTACCAAGCTTTCGAAGACGAGAAAACTGCTTCAATCAGTAAATTTTTTCAMGATTCACGATATAAACTCAAGTAGTTCACTGTAATTATTACTTAAATAAAATGTGCATAAATTTAATTTGYCTAAWTGTTGTTTAAATATAGGCTAAAACACGTGTTGTTGAAGCCTTATATATTAATAAAAAAATATATATATTATTTTATACATTTATACATATTGTTATTAAAAATTATATGTATATATATAATAATCATGAATTATGATGAGGACTTAGGTTTCCATACATCTCAGTTTGATAGGGACTGTATCGGTTTTGATTATTATATATTGTCCCGGAAAAGTGTTTCGGTACAGCCAATAATTGTCCAAAGATTATACCTACTTCAATAATTATTTATGTTAATATTTTTTTACCCGATAAAAAAACAATATTGTTTTTATGAATTTTGAAATAATCAAGTTACAGCTCAACAGCTGATTACTCGATTGACTGACGAAGCTACTTAGAAATTATTTTCCTACTTGATGACGTCAAGAAATTATTGCCGATGGCGTTCATTATTGTTATTGCGAAAATTATCATTTATTAGTTATCGCTGATATCGGATAGTTTTATCGGTTACCTAGTTACTGATTCCAATTTGTGAAGTTTAATTAATTTTTACTTTATAAATTTAGCAAGTCGTAGATACTAGATACCCATTGTTTGTGGTATATRCTGGTATCCAAAAAACTTATAGTAATATAGTTGAAAGGTGGTAAGATTTTTCAATAAAAACAATGGCGTAGGTATGTCTTGGTTTCTTCTTTTTCTTCTTGTGGTCTTTACAATAACTCTCTAATAGTTTTTGCCAGCATACAACATTGCGTCAGCTATCCGTGTCATGGACCATTTACCTTTACTTGTCTATTCCCATCTTCCTTAAGTATTCCTCGACTTCATCGATCCATTGATTTCCCTAAGCCATTAGGGGAAAATGTTATAGTGATGATATTTTTC